GAATTTAATTTCAGAATACAATAGGAGTTAGACTGTATGCCAATGAAACCGAGGGCTTGGACAATGGCTTGTTTATTTTCAAATATATGGATATTATAATAAAAAAATATTTTTTTATATCTTGAAATATACATAAAAGTATACTAAAAGTTTAAAAAGTTTCACTAAATCGTTTCTCTAAAAAAAATTCCCAGAAATCACTTTTTTTCAGTGTGTTACATCAGGCTCCTCCCTTAAGAACTATAAAAACTTTAAATTTAATAGATTCCTCTAAATTATGTTAATAAAAATTACCTGGCATCAGTCAAGACAATTAAGTGTTCGCAACAACCTTGATGCTGATATACCCATGGAAAACCAAACTTTGTATAAAGAGAATTTATCAGAGCATCCATAGTAGCAACTTTAAATGGACCTATATCACGAACTGCTGCCCATTCTAATATAATATTACTATAATCAATGTTAGTTGGTACACTAGTATCATTATAAAATGTATCTTCAATATAAAAGAATCCAGATTGGTAGACATCCTATAATAGTAAATGCAATTGACTTTTATATACTGAATATTTCATCTTAACAGAAACTGTGAAGTATCTCGAAAACAAAACATTTTTACGAAAATAAGTTAAGTATTTTTCGAAATATGAGTTGACAAAACTCAGATACCACTAGCATTAACATTATCCAATGTGTCTAACTGACGACAAAATCATTTTGAATGTTATTCAGGGTCATAAACTTAATAATATTTGTCAAGATCAAAATTATTGCAAGTTATTCTTATCCCCCCACCCCCAAAATCTTAATAAAAATATACTCATTCGACGCGTTTACACTTAAAACGAAATGGCAAAAAAACGCGGCGGCCGACTTCGTGAATCGAGTTATCAACGCGTTAGAGACTTTAGAGGTTAAGGTATCTGTTATACTCCGACTTACACACAAATATATCGCTATGCATACGTTCTGCTTTAATTACACAATTTCATTGTTTTAAAAACACAAATTTATTGCTTCAAAAATAAATTCTTTGCTTCACACACAAATTCATTGCTTTAAATTAAAGCACAAATTCACTGCTTCAAAAATACAAATTCACTGCTAATGTAAAGAATGTGTGCTTAAAGCAGCGAATTTTTGTTTGTAAAGAAGTGAATTTGTGTTTGAGAAACAGCGAATTTATGTAATTAATGCAGAATGTATACATAGCACTATATCGAGTCAGGACAAATATCTTAAACTCTAAAGTCTCCAACTTAAACATTTAAGAACTTGATTTATAAGGCCGCGTTTCTTTACTAGATTCTTTCGTTTTGAGTGAAAACACGTCAAATAAGTATATTTTTAAGATTTTAGGTGGAGGGGGAGGGGGGCTATTCTAAATAATCTGATTTTTAATAGTGAACTACGACTTTTATATGAAACCTTTTTCTCAAAAATGCTTTGTTTGTAAAATATTTCACTGTTCCATATGTCTAATCAATAACAAACACATGGATTGTTATAAAATAGATATAATTCAAAATTGAAAAAATTATTACTTTTGCCATTGATTCAGGCCTTTGATTTGGATTTTCACTAATTTCTTTTGTAATTGACAAGTCAGATTGACACATTATCTTTTGGCGTAATTCATAAAGAGTTTGGCTTCCCAATATCGATATGACACTCTTAAGTTTAAGAACAGGTATACTTGTTCTATACTTAAGAGAACGAGGCTGGCTTTTAAATGGCTCATATATCCTGATATAAACTAGAAATTCTTCATATGGCTTTAAAGAGTTATTATCAACAGATTTTGACTTATCATATTTCTAAAAAGAAACAAGTAATTATTTCAATGCTCTATATTTGTCAATACTAATCATGCACATTGATCAAGGAAACCAATGTGGTACTTATAAAATTATCGATCATATAATTATAATTCAAGTAAATTTTAGTGAATCTTTTTATTATTCTACACGTCTTAATAGCTCTTCAAAGTAATTACTTACAATAGGAATGCCATTTTGATTTCTAGGTTTTATTGAAGCTTGTTTAGATAAGCTCTCTAATATTTTAATTGTTTCCAATGAAACATTATCTAAAATTCTTTCAGGTACATTAACATATCCTTGTTTTTCCTGTTCTTCTATAATGGCAGCTTCCACTGGTAATGTTAAATTATCGATACTATAAAATTGATTTTGATACAATATATATAAGAATTCATTTTTATTAAGAAATATGTCATATTTATTATATGTCGTAAAATTCAATACCTGCAATAATGTTTCATTAGAAGTATTCTCGCTTGTGAGAGATCAGTACCCATAAGTTGAAAAATCTTTTCTTCACTTTGTTTGTCAATTTCATAACACAAGGATGACTTAATTAATTCGCTATATTCGTGAAAATAATCTTTTATATAAATCTTTGGTGACGCTTGACGATCGTAAAGCTTATATACCTGATCCATTGTCTCAAATAAATTTTAACTTTAATAGGGCTTCTACAATAAGTCGCAAGTCAAAACGTCAGAAGTCTAAAGGCTATCGCACATGAAATGCATAACACAGCATAAGAATAACATAAGACTGCTGGACCAATGAGCATCTAGCATAATGTCGCCATATTGATTTACATAAGATGCTCATTGGTTTAGCGGCCTTATGTTATGCTTATGCTCTATTATGCATTTCATGTGTGAGAGCCCTTAAGCCTTAAGCCATAAAGGCCTGTCTACAATACACGGAGTAAGAAGTAAGAGTAAGAAATTGACCAATCACAGTCGAATGTGAGAAGAATAATCGACTGTGATTGGTCAATTTCTTACTCTTACTTCTTACTCCGTGTATTGTAGACGGGCTTTAAGAAATGGGCGAATCACAGTCGCTTATTCTTCTCGGATTCGACTGTAATTGGCCAGTTTCTTACGGCATAAGGCATAAAACACCTATTGTAGATCCGGACTAATC